TATACATCAGAATATGGCTCATCTTCTTACCCCGTGAAAGGACTTTTCCAGGTGGGGCCATAAATAATTGCAAAACATTGAATCTTTGTAGGAAAAACACCCCAAAATTTAGTGTAACAACATAATTACTGAGAGAAGCCATTGGCTTTTATTTCTTCTGTAAAGGAAGAGAAAGGAGGTCTAATTTTGGATCCAGAAAAATAAATCCTGAGTATTTCTGCTGCACTGTGAGCACTCCGGTGTGATTATGGGAATCCAAGCTGTCTGTCATGTAGAGTATGTCTATTTTCATAACCAGTGCTAAATTAGGCCAAGCTGGTACTAAAACTCTCACCTGCCATACCTAATAAGAAGTTATCCCAAGAAGCCTGTCTCACAGGACAGTGGGGTTGGAAATTAATCCTCCTCTCTAAGCAGGTGACTCTTCAGGCTTTGGAGTTTGCGAGCGTACATCTTATCCCAGGTATAGACAACAAATCCCTTTACCGCCGGATCCCTCTTCACACACATCAAATCTATGTAGTCATGCACGACCTCTCATGGCTTTGGTGAAGTCTGTTCAGACCTACTGGTGTAAAGCGGAAGGTGTCGGTGTTTTCCATCTGCACAGAGACACTCCTTGAAGGAACCAAAAGGTTTGAAAAACGCACTGTATCACACTCCTGTTGTGATTTTTTTTTTTTTTTTTTAAAAAAAGGAAATAATATGCAAAAATAAGTAGACCCTCCTAAAATGACTGGTTCTGGTTTTGGGTTTGTGTGTACTGCAAAGGAAAAGGAACTGCTGATGTGAAGCAAGTGAACATCTGCAATGTCGATCCCATGTGGCATGGACTGTAAGCTTCCTTGCTGTGATCCTTTCTTCTTCTTTATAATAGCGCAAGTAGCACAAGGCTCGGTGCTTTGCCCTTTATGGGACTTGGAGCCTTTCCACGGTTTAATGTGAAAAAGGGCTGTTGCTGAAGGAGTATACTCATCCAGCTCGCTTTGAAGATGTGGCAGCAGAGCGTGTGTGTGTATTTGTCTCCTTCAAGGGTGTGTCCCACAGCTGCCAGATGCCTTCACTTTCATGGATTTCCCCTTGCAACCATTAGTGAGTATGCACACCCAACCAGCACCACTTCTGACGCACAGCCTGCGGGCAGCACAGGCAGCATCGAAAGGAATCACAGCCAGGCACTTGGTACCAGCTGAGGACTGAGAGCCTGGCTGGGCTCCGGTGCTTATATGGAGCAGGGACTCCAGCTAAAATGCAGCATCATATCTGAATATTTTTTTTTAAATGTAAATGTGTCCTTAAAGGAAATGCCATTTTCTTTTGGACCACAACATCATTTCATCTATATATGATTTCACTGAGGGCAGAGCTAAGGCTGCCTGAAGTATCTTGTGTGGTTTTCTATGTATTTTATAAGTAACTTAAACAACAGTCTTCTTGTGGGGGTATGTCTGTGTGACTGTAATGTTTCAGTGTTTAAGCTTCTGATATGTATTCTCAATTTTGCTTCATTTAAGCAACTGTTTTTGTCTTGGTACAATACTTTGGAAGATCCAAAGTCTCTGTTAGTGTGCGGTATAGTAACTTGTCAGTGTGACTTCATGGTTGGCACCATTCCAAAGTTTTACTAAAAGTGGGTTTTTCTGCTGTTTTCAACAGTCCAGTCAGATTAGAGTACAGATAAGCCTCTGCATATGTGTAGTTAGTGCCACTGAACCTATTTATCAGATTCAAAGGAACAATGAAGGAGAGGCAGAATCTCGGGTAACAGAGAATAATTTTTGAAAAGTATCAATCACTGGAGAGGATTAAATAAAGAAAAAAAGCAGCTAGGGCCGTACCAAAGACTTTTGCAAGAGGAAAACATTACAGCAGCACACATGAAGCGGTTTTTAAATTTACCTAGTGAAGCATCCTGTAATAGACCTCTAATGCAACTCTAACAATAACTGTGAGAGATGTAATTAAATGCAAGAAGTAAACATGTTTGGAAAAAAATACAGACCCAACGTCAAAGCTTGCCCATGGGCCATCGCCAGCTCCCTCTCACTAGCCACCTCCCAGAGGACAGACATCTTTTGCTTCCAGGTCCTTTTGCAGAAGAGCCCTTTGACTCTCGTGGTGGCTATCTAACAAATATCGTATCTGCTCCCTGCTGATTTCAAAAGGGATAGAAAAAGCCCCCTCTCCCCCAACTGCCAGTCCATCTAACTGCAATTAATATTAATGCGTTGAACTTGCCAGCAGGGCAATTCATTAGGAAAAAAAAGAAGATTTTTTTTGGATTTGTCTAGGCTTGGCAACTGTGGATATAGTTTCCTTTGCTTTTATTTTTTATTTAACCTTAATTAATCAGTTAATTTAACTTTACAGATAATTATCAATTGTAATTCATTAATAAAACCTCCACAATCTGATGATTACTCCTCAGCCAAGCCTAGGGCTTGAGCCCAGCAGCTGTCACCAGGATCAAACACTTCAGGAAAACAAAAATTACACAAGCAATTAGGTGTGTAATGAATCAGTGCTGCATGTGGCATGCTACCTTCCTTAGTGAACACCCGTGCTGAACACTTCGCAAGTAGTTCTGATCCCGGCCAAAGTGGACATGTTTCACTCAGGAGCCTGTCTGGCTGTCCAAGGCTATTGCAATGCCAAGGGCTAATGGCATCACGTCGCTCATTTGCATGTGGGGCCTAAACTCTGCGTCCCCAAAGAGCGTGGCTGCCCTCCTGTAGGCAGGGAGTGGTGCCCTGGCCTCCCTGATCCCCCAGACCATGCCCAGGCTTTGTTAGGGTGACTGCTAGCCTTGCCACAAGCATGTTAATTATTAAAAAGACTGAGTGATTGCTGGTGAGCCTGGAGATTTCCTGACCTGATGCGAGCACCTAAGGTAGCTGTAGTTGCATTGTAGGTGGCATTCCCCTCTGAGTAATGGTAAAAAAACCTGTATTTATGCTCTAAAAAGCAGAGGAAGTACCTCAGGTTTAGGATTTTATAATGTCTAACGCAGGAAAGGCGTGAACATGTAGCCAACCTGGCACTGGCAAGTATCCCTAAACACCATGGGCATTAATAATAACTAAATCTGAGTGGAGAGCAGTAAAATGTGATTGATAAAGGAGGCTAGCACAGAAACAGAAAGAAAATGTAAATGTAAAATGGCAAGTAAAATGGCAAGATAGATGTTGCCAGATGCCAAAGGATGTGATCAACAAAGTAGCAGCTATGTCCCTGCCAAGAAGCAGAAAGGAAATACAGGCTTTCCTAGGCGTTGAGGGTTTGTGGTAGATGCATATTCCAAATTACAGTCAGATTGTAAGCCCTCTTACAAAGTGACCTGTAAGAAAGATGATTTCAAATGGGGCCCTGAGCAGCGACAAGCCTTTGAACAGATCAAGCAGGAGATCGTGCGTGCGGTACTCCTTGGACCAGTCTGGACAGGGCCAGAGGTGAAGAATGTGCTCTACACCACATTTAGATTCAGCTAGTAAATAGTTCTTATCTCAATTTTATGAGCTTACTTGTCTTTTTCCTCCAATTCTTCCCCTCTGCTGGAGGAGGCGAGGGGGATCTGTGAGAGAGACTTCGTGGTATTTTGCTAGCCAGAGTTAAACCACAACACCGTGTTCAAAGGACTACTAATTCTCTCTCCTAGTCTGGAATAAAGGGTTCCCAATGACTCTAAAGCATCATATGGGCATTATAGCTCCTGATTACTTTGACTGGGGTGCTTGCACTTTTTCCAAGCTATTACCTATTCAGCTATGGGGAAAGTTTCTGGAAAAGTAAGTCTATATCCATCCTTTTCCTGAAGAAAATTGAATTTTTGGTCCACAGCAAGAGCAATTAGCAGAGTGCACTTTTTTTTACTGCAGCCCTTGGTCTTTATGGAGAGTTTGGGCCTCTCACAGTTTCCTTGTGCTCTCAGGAGTGGTCCCTGAACGTGCATGGAGCAGGGGGCTCTTGCCCACTGTCACCCAAGGTGCACGCACAGAGCACTCTCAGTGGAAAGCAGAGGAACTGAGGGCATGATTTTCAGCGGACCAAGTATGTCTTCCCCATACCATGTCCCTGCCTTCAAATGATTCCACTCGGACCAGTAGATACTTGGCATTTCTGAATGTGCATTGCTGCATTTGCAGAAGCATCTAAGCATTTTGCTGATGCAGAAACTACCGATTGCAAATCCGCCAGCTCCTGCCTGTTATATTTTAGGACTGTGCTAAATGGACACGCATTCTAACTTAAAATATAGTGGTGACATATGCAGTAGCAGTTTCATTTAGGGACATGTTAGTAGCTTAGCTCAGTGCCATGTTTTGTGGTGATTCCGTATGCAATGGAAGGAGATGGCTGTATTAACAAGTGCCTAGGGGATTTCCTAGCATGAGAAATGCTCAGTTATGCTTCATCATCCCTGCTCCTCTGGAGTCTCTTAAACTCTGGCATTTAGTAGTGATGCTGCTGAGAAAACATAGCAGTTTTGGGGCCTTCAAAGCAAGGAGAGGCTGGAAGTAACCTGGAAAGAAGGTACCACTTCTTATCCCCTGCATGGAAGGGCACGTGCTCATTATCTGCAGAAGTCACCCACCCAACACTGCTGCTATTATTACGGTTAAAATTATTACATTATTACTTTCCAGGGAATGGGAAAGAAGTCTTTATCTCATGTTGACACAAAATCATTGCAAAGATGGAGTTTTCCTTCTCCCACTGTGGTCTCAGTCCTCTCTGCCTCACATTTCTTGGGTGGTTTTCTCACCTGTTTCTGTGTGGTTCTCCCCCTGGTGCTCTTGAGACTTCTCTGCATCACAGCAGCACATCAAAAAAGAGGTGAGCCCTGGGTTGTGACAGCAGAAACTCGTTGAACTTTCTTGCTGTTTAGCACAAGTTTCTTTGGTGTTGAACTCCATGTGACTGGAACGTAAACGACTCCAAACCTTGGACTGATATCTGCCAAAGCTTTCCTTGCTTATTTGTTTTGGGGCTTTGTTCTGCAGGTCCTGTGTGACAGACATGTGCGAATGCCCGGTCCATAAAAACTGCTACTGTGAGTCATTCCTGGCATATGCCCGAGCCTGTCAGAGGGAAGGGCTGAAAGTCCAGTGGGTACCGGAGCAGAACTGTGCAGGTAAGCGTTTTGGGACTGCTTCTCTGTAATTGCGTAGGCTGATAGGCTGCTCTCCCTTTACTAGTAGGGTAGGATCAAAAATGAACTGGCTAGAAAGCACTGCGATTGCACCAATGGGGAAGTTGCATTCTGATTTATGTATAAAGACCTCACCAGGAAAGATTTTCAACCATCAAATGTTAGAAATGCTCATTTCACTGCAAAACTTTTCACTTCTAATGTCTCCTATCCAGAAAGAAGTACATGCCTTTTTCTTTCAGGATATGTAAACAGGTGCTACAGTTTATGTTTAAACTCCTGTGACCTCCTGTGAAAGCATACTTATATTTCCAGAGAGAACATGCATATGTGAATCCCGTAGGTTCAACAACTCGAGAGATTATACTTAATGGGAATATTGAAATGCAAACATGCATTTAATTTGGTACTTGGAGCAAATTCCCCATGTGATTAGGACTGCATTAATTGCATGCAGTTGTGAGTAATTGTTTCCATGAAAATTGGTGGCCTGTGGTCATGGGCACTTAAAGTAAAATGCAATATTGCAGATGAATATTTCCCCTGATGATGGTCTCATTAATTTAGGACATTCTGTAATGGCATCGGTTTGCCTGGAAATGTATTCAGATTTATGTAAAGCAATTGACAGTAGTTGGGGAAAAAAAAAAAGTAGAGAGAAGGATACTCAGTGCTGGTCAAAGAGCTATTACTCTGTGGTCCATTTTTGTGATTGTGTGCGGCTCAGGGTCTACTCTCTCAACTTCAATTTCCTTTTCTGCTGAAGGCACGATAGCAGGGATGGGTGAGTGACAGAGCAAATTACATTTGATTGACTGTTCCCGAAAGGCTCATTTTTTTTCTGACAAAAGAACAACTATCCAAACAGGGCGTCACTAAGTGAAAGCCCTATTCAAGGATGTGGTCTCTGTCGGCACTATTAACATATGTAATTTTAATCTATTGATCTGGTAGCAGATCCATGCAGAACCTGAAACAAGTACCCTGACTGGTTGGTTGGTTTGCTGTGTTTTTTTAACTAAAGCACTTCAGACTGAGACCTCACTGTGGCAGATGCCGTCAAAAGAATAAAAACTCCAGTCCCTGCCTTAAAGAGTTTATACAAGTGTTGGCATATCATGACTTAACTAATTGAGGTTTCTTTTCACAATTTTTTTGGCATTTTACCAAATGAAAACTTTCTAAGGCAGAAACAGTCCTTGAGAGAACGTTATGAAGGAATTTAAACACACATCTTCCATTAAAGCTAATGAAAGTAGTGTTTAAACCCACCCGAGTGTTTTAATCCCAGTGCAGACTTGTAGAGGGCAAGAGGAAATCTTGTTAAGCAGAAAATATAGATGAGCTGTATATTGTCAAGTACCCTCAAAACACTTAAGTATCCTGTGTTGAACCAGTAGCACCATCTTACAGTAAATCGTATGTTAAGCCCTTAATTAAAATGCATCCACTGCACTCTGTACGTTACCAGTGGCCAGCATCAAGATTTTAATCTTTAACTTACTTTTTTCTCCCCAAAACTTGTAGTTACAATTATTGTGTCCTAATTATGGATAAAAGTTCCCGGGTATGAAACAATATATCTGTAATAAAACTTTAGTGTTCTGAGACTTTCATTTCCTGCTTGACATTTCATAGCTGGTGGGATACTTGGAAGAGCTGTGTTCTGATGAAAATGGAGTATACTTATTAGCAAAGTCAGGTTTTAATTATTCTTTTGTGTGTTATAAAACCAGATCTTGTGTGGTTGCCAGTTCCTCTACCCTGACTGCTGTACGCTTAGCTCATTTTTATGATCTTTAGAAAGCTTGTGTTGTCTGGAGAGCCAGCCAAACAGGATGCTCAGGAGGCTGAATTACATGTCCTGTTCCCTACATGCTCTTCCTCCTCTCCCAGTGCAGCAGTGTATCCTCCTCTTAAGTCCTCTGTGAAATACTGCTGCTCAGGGTTTGCTGTCCTTTGAGGATGGATTGGTAAGGGGAATACCAGCTGTCGTTTACCCACAGGGCTGAAGAGAAGAAGCTAACAAGTAAGGAAAATGGTTAGGGTAGGAAAGGGTTGGTGAGATCTGCAGGAGAACTAAGAGGGTCTGGAAAGGAACATGGGTTTCCATGGGAAGTAGCAGGGAGTGAGACCTTTTAGGATGGGCACAGGAAGAAATATGATGTGTGAAGGAGAAGAAAAAAAAAACAGGAGAGCCAGCATGAAGGAAAGAAGGAATAAGAGAAAGTGATGCAAGAAAGAGGGAAAAGAAAAGATACAAATGGAAGGAAGAGGTTTGAAAAGGAAAGGAGATTAAAAAAAATATTTTTTTTAGCCCAAGAAAGTCTAAGCAAGCAGTTTATCAAGTGCAATTAAGTAAAGTGAAGTGGTGAAAGGCATTGGGCCATAGTAATTCAACACTGAGTTACTGAGGGCACTGAGACAAAGCAGACTCGAGGATGGCAGGTGGCAATAACTCCCTGCCATGGGCCTGCCTACACAGGCAAGAAGAAAAAGCAGATACGGACTACAATAAAATGCAAAGTGCATGTGGTAGCGCTGATGTGCTGACATGCTCCAACAGCCTCATAAAAACTGAACAATTTTCTCTTTTTCCTATTTGAATGGTTGAGTTAGAGGAGGATGAATGTATGTCTGATTTTGACTCTTCTCTCCTGAGTCGTCTTCTTCTCTCTTCTCTTCTCTGTTGTGGAATTTTCTGGCCAAAGTCACTCTTTTTCCCTGTTATATGTTGTTGTCTTCTACTGTGTTAGAAGGAGATGTGGTGAATTGCAAGCATCACAAACGACATTCCGCTTGAAAATCTTACAGAACACCTCAAAAGCCCAAACTGTGCAACACCACCAGAAGAAGAGGGTTGACTCATTGATGCACAAATATTAGCTCAGAAATTTCTGTGGAATCAGATTGACCAGATACCATCCACCAAGGGAATCCTGCAGCAGTTCCATGTTAGGTATTTTGGCTTTTGCACTGGGGAACAAGAATTCCTCCTAAATAATTACGGCCATGTCTACAAAGACAGGCGCAGACAGATACAAGCCTTCTCTGTGAAACTGCCAAACTTGCTGGAATAAACCAGCTCTGGTCTCAAAACTGTACAGCCTTATTAGGCAGGGTTTATTAGCTGAGGCACAGTGCTGTAGTTTTGTGACTATATGGCTTCTGGACAGGAGCTGGCTCTCATCCTGCCAGCTCAGAAAACAGTCCGAGGAAGCTCACATCTGTCATGCCAAACACATGTTCTAGAAGAGTGGAAAAATCCTGTTGGGACTGGTAACATTGCAAAATGCAGTATTATTAGTAACTTTTGTGATTTGGGGTTGGGGTTTCGACTTCTTTTGCTTGTGCACTAAGGAAGTTAGTAATAACAGAGCTCAGTTCTTTAAGAGAGGAATTTGCCTTAAAAGATGGGTGCAAAGGCATCACTTCTGTTTTCCATGTTTACATGGCAATGATTCATTGCAGCAGTCCCTAGGGAGCCTACTGCAGAATGCCTTTATTTTTATTTTTTAAACTGTTGATGAAGTGGAATGTTCTGGATCAATCACACCACATGTTAACAACTGAAGCACTCAGCAATAAAAGCCATCCAGGGAACTTAAACAGCAGCCATTGTACTTTTCTGATGTTTCCCTTGACAGCAAGTTAATAACGTCATTATAGACTGCCTACAGCAGAAAATAAAGTCATCATATCTTTTAGGTGGCATCATCTGAAGCAGATAGAGGTGTTTTGACATACCACATCCATGTGTGGTAGAGCAGAGCTGGGGAGTGCTTATAGATGCCACGGCCGCTGAGGGCAGCCTGTAATGTATTCTCACTTGCTTTGGGGCAGAGATGAGGAGGTGGAAAGGAGAGCTTGTCCAATTTTCTTCAAACTCACTGGCTGAGGCACCAAACAGAGCTCACGTGGAATGAACAGGCCAGCTATTACTGCAGTAAAACTTGTGGGATTAAACCTATGCAGCCTGAAAACTGAAGCTCACAGACCTTTCTCTATGGAAACTGCATGTGCTGAAGGCTAAAGTTTCAGCTTGGGGTTGTTGAATTAGAGATCCTTTGAAGGGAAGCTCATTTTCAGAGAGGATGGACGAAATCTTCTAGTTAACAGCCCACTTCTTAAGATAATTCATGTTGTGTGTGGATCACAATCACTATCCCTCTTTGAACACCTTGTTCTACTTTTCTAGACAGTTAATACACTGTTTGCAAAGCTCCTGGGAGCTCTGCACATTTCTGTTTCTTCCATAGCGATTCAATCTCTGTTCTTAACACACAGAGTTTGTTGCGAGTCTAACATTTTCCTGTATGCTCAATACTCTTTGTGTGTTTTCCCCCCCCTTCTAAATTTCCTGTTTCATTTAAATTTCATTTTAGTTATTTGTTTGTTCCTTCTTCAGTGTGCATGAAATTTATCATGAAGAGCAGGATTTAAATGTAAAGCTGGAAAAAAATTCTCAAAAGATCTATGCCCACAGCAGAATAAGCCTTTCTTGAACATTGCTGAAAGATGCTTTTTCCAACCTGTTCAAAAATGATGTTCAATGAAAGATGTCTCATGGAGATTTTAGGTAGCTTGCTCTGGTGCTTTCTCATGCTTAAAGAGAGAAAGATTTTTTTTTTTTTTTAATAGTATCTGCCTATATCTAGCTGTTAATTTTTGTAACTGCAGGGGTATTTTCTGTTACTATCCAATTTTTCCATTTTTTTGTTTGCCTATTCAGTATCTGTGCCCTGAGAACTTGGTATGCATCCTTGCCAGAATTCCTTTGCCAGGGCTGCTTTTCACATATGTATAAATGCCATAAAATGTGTAAGAAATAAAACCTGCTAGAAGCTGATGCTGTTTTGAAGATCACTGTTACTGCTGAAGAGGAAATCCTTTTACAATTGTGATGCCCTAGCACTAAGAGTTCCATCTTCTGAGATATATCCTTGAACATATTTAATCCATTTATTTGCTTCTACCTGTTTTCTCTTTATGAATAACAGCAGTACTGTAATGGCACTGTAAGGCCAACTCTCACAACTAAATAGCATTTTTTTGTGCATGACAGAACTGTTCTTTAAAAAATCTGGACCTTCAGTCTCTCTCAAAATGGAAGAAACCCTCTTAATGCAACCACCTCTCTGTAAATAGCAAGAGACGATTCTGGATGCTTGAGAGTCCCTTACCATTTATAAACTATTTTATCAGTACTTGGTTTTGCCATCAGCACAGCCGTTAGAAAGAATAACAGGCTTTTACTCGCTATTGAACCATGGATTATTCTTCATACTAATAAGGCAGGATATAAAATATTAAGAGTTTAAATATTGATCTGGAGGGGGTATAGTGCTTTTAGCTGAGCCCTCAGTGGTCTCTCATGCTGGAAATGCATTGAACCACCAGCTACATACATCAGTGAATAGATACTGGAATCATTAAGTACAAGAATCCTCATCCTCAGTGATCCCTTGGCAAAAATAGCATAAAGCATGAGAATAATTGATTGTTTAAAAAATAATTTTGTTTTAGAAATGGTGATGCTGAATTAACAATGTTGGTTTTATTTGCTTCAATATGCAGTATTGAAAGTCTAATCTTAGGAATAGATAGTCTCATGTGGTGAATGACTCTCCTTTCTCTTCCTTCTGTAGGAGTAGGACCGATAACTGTCCTTGTAAATGCTTCAGGAATCTTTGATAAAATGCATTGTAACAAAAAAATAAACAATGTTAAGCCTTAAACATAAAGCATGCATCTGCTTAAAGACAGAAAACTTGCCAAAACTTTATATACTGTCAGCTGTGTTAAAATTCTCAAAAGTTCAAGACTGCTAAAAACCTGATATCTTCTTGATTAGCAATTTTGATAACTTTATATTTGTCATGTAAAGTACTGTTGCATTTAATACAGTGGAATCTCTTTACAAGTAATTTTTTTTCTCTAGATCTTCAGACCAAAATGTTCTGTTTCATATTTGCAGTAGAAACCAAGCAAACAGGTGTGTAACTTTCCTTGTGGGACTCTGTGTAATACGTATGTTTTGTTCTTTTTAACTGCCTTTCAGCAACCCAGTGTAAGCACGGTGCAGTTTATGATACCTGTGGTCCAGGTTGTGTCAAAACATGTGACAACTGGAACGAGATTGGCCCATGCAACAAGCCCTGCGTTGCAGGGTGCCATTGTCCAGCAAATTTAGTTCTTCACAGAGGAAGATGCATCAAGCCAGTCCTGTGCCCACAGCGATGACATTAGTTCTCTTTCCACGGACACAAATGGGGGTGGTCACGGACCCCTTTGATGCTCACAGCCAGTGAAGGACTCCAGCTATTGGTGTGCAGATGCTGCAAAGTACACGGCTACTCACAGAGTGTAAATATGTTCCTGTGTGTGTATTTATGTGTGTTTATGTACACACACGTGGCACCTAGAAAGATATATAAATGTATACTGTGTGTATGGAGATACACACATCTGTACACAAGTGCCCTAAACGTAAGTAAAACCCGTATATTTATATATATGTCCACACACACAAATATCCATCATTTCTATATATCATAGAAGGATGAATTATTATATGTATATTTTTTGCTATAAAGTTTATGTATTATTATTTCAAGGACCCTGATCTGTAAGTCATTGTATAAATAAACCAGGTGCTTTTAATATAATATGGTGGCATGAAAAGATTGGATGACTTTGCCATTGCACAAGTTTGTCATTTCTAAGGAAGTATTTCTAGGGCTGTAGCACTGCCAGACTGGATTAACTTCAACACAGAACCTGGATTTACAGTTGCACAGGAAACACATTCCTCTGGAAACGCAGGATTTATCTAGGAATATTTCGTGCGTACCTTAGAGTTGCACAGTGATTGGTGACAGTGCTTAATCAGGCAGAGAAGGCTGGGGATCGGCTTCTATGCTTTACTGAAATAACTGTGCAGAAGGATTTCCAAACCTGACTGGCCACCTGCCAACACAGAGGTATTTCTTTCTGGGACGGCACCAAGGAGTCAGGGGCCAGATTTTCAAGTGTTCAGCACCCAGCAGCTCTCTTTGAAAATTTGACCACTTCCCATTTCATATTCTAATACCCCGTCTCTGTTGTTGCGTTTGGCAGTAGCTGTGAATTCACAATAAGGAGCTTGAAGAAAATATTCCTGTATGTATTAGCCCCTTTAACATGTTTGAAGCTTCTGGGTATGTTTCATATTTCCTCCAAATATTATGCAGAAAGCAAATCCCATTGTGAATTGGAGTGTTTGATTTCAGTGTGCCTTAAAACATGAAATAATGCTGGGCTTAGTAACTCATTTAATTTATCAGCATGGTTTAGGAGAAAGGCAAATTCACCCCACCAGAAAAACAGTAAAGAATGCCAAATGCTAATTGGAGAACTGCAATTTATTTCCTTACTGGTCTTTTGCTTGAGGTTTACGAACATGTGGGCTCTGTGAAGTTTGCATGACATTTGAAGTCTCCCAGGGGAGAAGCAATAATGTGGGATTTCATTAGAAACTGTTAAAAAAGCCATAGAACTTTCACAAGCCTAAAGGAGGGGGAGCTATTTTTCTTCCACTGGAAAACCTCTTGTAGAGCCTGATGAAATGGTCTCTGGAGATGACAGAAATCTTTGGGCATCTGATTTAGGTTTATAATGAAGTAATATCCTCCCACACAGCTACTTCCATTATGCCTTGCATTGAAATTGCACATTGTAATGCTTTGAAATTTTTTCTCCTTTAATTCTTCACTCTCCAGGAAGTTTCACAGGGTCTGAGTTTACAGTGAGTGAGTGAGTGCAACGCACTTGGGTTATATGATGTGTCTGTGATCCCATCCTGGAAGAAGATGCTGAGTGAGCCTGGCTAGCTTAGGCAGCACACTATCCAAATTGCTGCACCGCCACAGTGTTCAAAAGAGCTGGGCAAATAATGCCAGGAGCATTCCATGGGCATTTACCCAAATCTTAAATGAAGTCAGCTCGATCTTTTTATGTCCACTTTGTGTTCGTTTTCTTGGAACAATCACATAATCTGGTTTTGCTGGCAGAGTGGATTTCGAAGTCACGTAAAGAAGTGCACTGGGAAGCAAAACTGCAAATGTGCAGATCCCATCAGAGCAGGAAACTAGAAGAGTTTTATGTGGCTCGTGTGATAACTGAAAAAAAATTTTCAGCAAAGCTGAAATTTAGAACAATTGCAATTGGTCCAAGGGGTTAAAACTTAAAATGATAGTCATTAAAATAATGTAAAGCATCAGTTAGACCAAAGAATATTTCAGCCTGTAAGCTTTTGATGCTGAGATATGGGTTCTAAGCCATTAAAAAGGTTATTTGCCCAGCTCGAGTTTCGGGTAAATTTTCATTACTGATACATTTTCATTACTTACTTTTCGGTGTTTCCAAAATAAAAATACATGCAAAGTGAATTGCATACATGAACAGTTTGCAGAACTGTCCTTCCCTTCTCTTCTCCTGACTGATGAAGGTGAGTGACAGGTGAAGGGGGAGCCCTCCAGCTCTCTCAGTCCACTGATCGCAGTCAAGCAACACTTAATTGACGCCGGGTGAAGAGGTGACTCAACCTGTCGGACAAACTCTATTTTCAAATCTTAAAATGGTTTGGTTTGAAACCTGACCTAGAGGTCCTCAAAATGAGGACTCGTTCCTCAGTTTAGCTTTTTCACATCCACCTAATTAAGGGTAGCCCTCTGCTTTTTGCTTTAGTGATGTATGCTGAGGAAGAGAAGAGTGTGGTTTTGCCTCTAAACTGTCTGATGGTGCCCACATGGAGCCGTAGAGTTTTCCCTCCAAACTCCACAATTTTCAAGGCAACAGTAAGGGCTATCATCCACTCAGTTCACATATACAGTCTAAGGTAAAGGACTTCAGCTTTTCTAGAAATTGCCCCCAATTTTCAACTTGGCACAGGTTTTATATCCCTGTCTGTAGTTACGCTGTGCTCAGCTGAGCTGTTCAGACCAGATTGGTCCAGATGGGGTTGTCTCACACCGCTGTCGTGTTTGCCTCTCTTCTCCCAGGCTTTTCAACAGCTGAAAGTCTAGCCCAGTAACATCAATAACAGCATTACCACTGTCCTCATGGAGTTTGGGTAGCAGCCCATCTTCCTCCTTGGTGCAGCATTCTTTCTAATTCTGCTGTCTTGGCTCATGAAATATTACCCCTAGGATGCTAGAGCTGGAAACTTCCTGTGCATCACTGGGGATTTATATGTGACAAAATTCACTGATAATCCAATTTTAGTGTGCTAGATGTGTTTAGTATGCAATAATATGTTTTTAATAGTAGCATAACGTTCATAATCCATATGGTATATTCGCCAGGCAAAACTGATGATTGTGTAAGTTTTGGTCTTGATTATGCTTATGTTGATCCGTGCATATAACTTTGTGCCAACTTGTAAGGTGAAATATATGTGAAGGAGCAGAGGTTCCAATCAAAAAAATGGTCCAAAAGGAAAGTCTGAGAAGTCTTTAATCCAATGGCTAGAAACAAAAAAGGGCTTGAATCAATAGCTTTGCCATTAACCTGCTATGTGTTCCCTGGCAAGTCATTTAATATTCTTTACTACACTGGGGGAAATAAGGCTGGGGGTTTATGTGTCCTTTTTAAGTATACCAATAGGAAATGTTCTGAAATGCCATATGTCACCAGGGTAATGTCAGCTGGTATTTTACCAATCTACTCATGTCTGCTTTGCATCAGGTTGTCTTGTATCACCCACATCTTCATTACTTCAAAGTCAGCTTTTCGCTGGCATACGTGGAGGTCAAATACATTTACTTCCTCCTCATTTACTTTCAGTTGTGTCTATTTTTATCATATATACTGAGTTTTATAAACTATGGAGACAAACTATAGCTAAGCAGAGCAATTTGTGTTGTAGCACAAGACTTTGTAGGTACTCCCACATCTTCCAAGAACATCTTTCTTCTACAGAATAAGGTATGCACTTGGAGCAAAAAATGAAAATATTCTTAATATCCTACCCAAATATGACACCATCCTTGCACCACCTAAGTAGTTCCAGTAGATAACCTGAAAGAAGTAAGTTCTTCTCATCAGAGGCTTTTCTTCTTTTTTTTTTTTTTTGAACACAGGATTCAAACACAATTTGACACTGTTTGGCTTCCCAGTGACAGAACCTGACATTTGCAATAGCTGGACTGGATTTGAGTGATTCTACAGGGTTACTTTTTGCCTGCATCAAAAGTGGACAAGGTTATATCAGAGCTAGCAGATATGAGAATAACTGCCTATGAATTTGCAGCTGAACAGGCTGGAAAGGGAGGCAGTCAACAACATTTAGCACTGAAGTGGTGTGACGTTTCAGGAATTTCAGGAACAGTCCCAACTAAGGGGGCATTATGCCGGTATCTCAGTTCATTACATAATGTTGATCAAATGCTGCTTCTGCTATCGCTGATTTTATCATTTTAGAAAGCCCTGTGGCAAGAGAGATGTTTCTGCTTCCTTACAGATACATTTCTAGTCTATAGATTTGACAGAGTGGTCGGGGTTGGAAGGGCCCTCTAGAGATCATCTAGTCCAACCCCCCCTGCCAGAGCGGGATCACCTGAAGTAGATCACACAGGAACAAATCCAGGTGGCTTTGGAAAGTCTCCAGGGAAGGAGACTCCCCCCCCTCTCTGGGCAGCCTGTTCAGTGCTCTGGCACCCTCACAGGGAAGAAGGGTTTCCTCATGGTCAGGTTGAACCTTCTGTTCTCCAGCTGATGGCCATTGCCCCTAGTCCTGTCACTGGACACCACTGAGAAGAGCCTGGCCCCATCTTCCTGACACCCACCCTTTGGATATTGATAAACATTGATAAGATCCCCCCTCAGCCTCCTCTTCTCCAAGCTGAACCATAAGCCATCATAAAAAGCTGTCAGATTGGTCAAGCATGACCTCCCCTTGTTGAATCCACGATGACTACTTGTGATAAGCTTCCTTTCCTCAACGTGCTTTGAGATGGCACCAAGAACAAGCTGTTCCATTATCTTTCCAGGGATGGAGGTGAGGCTGACTGGCCTATAGTTACCCAGGTCCTCCTTCTTGCCTTTTATGAAAATTGGAGTAACACTGGCTTTCCTCCAGTCCTCAGGCACCTTTCCTGTTCTCCAGGACTTTTCAAAGACTATGGAGAGTGGCCTAGCAATGACTTCTGCCAGCACCCTCAGCACTTGTGGGTGCATCCCATCAGGGCCTATGGATTTGTGGATGTTCAGTTTGCTTAACTGACCTCTAACCCAATCCTCTTCAACTGAGGCAAAACCTTCCTTTCTCATGAATTCCTCTATGGTTTTCAAGCTCCAGGATTCCTGAGAGTAAAGACTAAGGCAAAGGTGTCATTCAGTAACTCCGCCTCTTCATATCATCGGTCACCAGGGCACACACTTCATTCAGCAGTGGGACCACAGTTCCTCTGGTCTTCTTTTTTCCTCCAATGTACCTGAAAAAGCCTTCCTTGACCTTCCTTGCCAGGTTTAGTTCTAAGGAGGCCTTAGCTTTCCTTATCACATCCCCACATCCTCTGACAACACGACTGCAAAGAGGACACAAATTTTCTTTATGACAACACCACTTTTACCAGGCAGGACCATTGCTTAGCATCAAGCAGCACCTTAGAGAATCTAAATACGACAT